TTAATCGCAAAGGTTTCTTTGTGAGCGGAAATTAACAATTACTAACCGTAGAAGAAACATTCTAAGCCAAGAGGATTAGGTTTTTATAGATATTTCCATATACTAAATTGAAAATGATGTCCTTAGTTATTCATCTAATGGGAGAAGGCATCCACACATCCCTTACAGCCTTTTAGTTTACAAAAATAAACATTTATGATGCATAATTATTAGCAAAAATTGAGTTTTGCATTTTATATTTCATTAATTATGCACAGCCACAGAGGTGGCCAAAACGGACAGAGGGAGCAGTGGCCAAGTGGCTGTAAAATTACGCACAGACCAACGCACACAGTTCCGGGTTTCGAGGTGAGGCTGAGAAGGCTCCTCCACCTGATCCCCGTGCCCAAACGCATCTTTCACAAAAAGTGCACACTTGGCCAGAGAAAAGGGGCGAGGGAAATCTTACGCCTGATTTGATCCGGGCCACATACAATGTCCTCGTTCAGGACTTGTTCTTGTGACTGTCACTTGCAGGCAGGCAGGCTGGCTGGCAGTCTGGAGCTGCCCTCACACGTGAGCTGGGCTGACATCCTTTCGGTTTCCTCAAATGTGACAAATTCGAAATGTGCTTGGCTGGTCAAAAGCGATCGAGTCCCTGGCCCATCCTGTCCTGGTGGCTGCACTTGAGCGCCGGCCAATCGACGAGGAGCTCGGAATGCTCGCCGAAGAAAACTGTGATGCGGCCATGCATGTTTCATGTGCATCTAAGCATATGCCAGCTCGTTCGCCAGACAGGGCCAGCTATATATATATCTATATATATACATAAATGCAAAAAATATAGTGGAGGGTGGGGTTAGGGGGGTAAACCCTTGCATATTGCATTTTCCATTTTATTCGATTGGATTTTATTGTATTTTTCACTTGATATATTTATGCAGCCGAATTGTTTGCCTTCTCCCTTGAGTTGTCACGCACAAAGGCAGAACTAAATTGTTTAATTTGATTTCAGCTTTTTTGGGGTCGCCTTGCGTCATGACCTGCACCCAGTTGTTATTGTTGTTGCTGCTTTTCTGTATAAAAGTCTCCTCCAACCACCCCCATAGAGAATCCCTGGCCATCCCAAAAATGACTCAATATTCCGATTCCAGTTGCCCGCTGGCATGGGCCTTGGCAATTTTGTAGACATTAAATTGCGTTTTATTTTTCAATATTTATTATTATCGAATATTGAAACGAAACCGAACTGTGGAAATGGAAATGGAAATGGCACTGGCGCTGCAAATGGGAGCGGGCGGAATGCAAAAGGTATATCTGAAGAATCAGGGACGGGGCCAGGTGTGTTCCTGCACGAATATCTCTCTCTATATATATGCACAATCGCAGTTCGCATATAGAGTTGTAGGTCTGTCCAATCCGGCAATGGTTCTATAACACGCGATACGCCTTCCCACCACCCTTTGGTCCAACCTTTTCCCTTAGGCTAAATCCACTCTATTTGGTGCGTTTTGCATTCTTAGAAGGGGAAACCCAATCCATCACTTAACTTTCTATCAGAAACTTGACTTAAACTTATTAAGAACAGGAATTATATATATTATGAATGGAATAAACCAACATTTTTGTGAGTTTCACTGCAGTTAGAGTAATATTTTGTATATAATTTATAACCATTTTCATTTCCTTAGATTGTTTGCACTTTTTGTAATATAATTTAAATAACCTTTTGCCTGCCTGCCTGCCCAAAACCAAATATAAATGTAGAATTGTTAAACTTAAGAACTTTATATGATTATGCTAAAGATTTCAATGAACTTAATTGGCTAAACAAATAAACAAAAATGGAAATGTCTTCCAAAATATTGGCTAAAACCGCGTGTGTGTGTGTACTTCCTATTGAGAGAGTAGTCGAAGCAATAGCCAAACCTCTAGAACTGAATGTGTTATCAAAGACCAGAAATGGGCTCTAAATGTAATTGGTTAACCTGAAAAATTGTAAAGAAAATTCTGGAAAATTCAGTTCGCGGTTAATTCAGTTCTGCTGTTGTTGCTGTTGCTGCTGCTTATGATGGAACTCAAAATTGACCCCAAAAGAAAAGAAAAACCAAAAACACACACACGTTCCACACTTGAACATCAAAATTGAAGCTGCCGAATGAAACCAATAGCAACCTTTATTTAGCTTCTGATTTTCGATCTCACATTGACTTCCTCCTCTCCCCAATCGCTCAAACGCCCAATCGAAATGTTTGGATAGCAGGCACATTCCTGAATGCCAAGAGCGGCATCAAGCAGGAGGTGATGGAGCCGGAAACGGAAGAGGATGCACTGCACCTTCAGCAGCAGCAGCAGCCACATGAAGCCCATGCCGCTGACCGTCGTCCCGCGGCCTGTAAGTTGGCCAAACTGATGCAGCAACAACAGCAGCAGCAGCTGTTTGACCAGCGGCGCAGCCACCACCAGCCGCACCATCACCATCAGCCGCACCAGCGCCACCATCATCATCACCACAATCGCATTCTGAACAATAACAACAATACGAAGAAGAACCGCTCGGCCAACTCTTCGCCCACGCCGTCGGCCAGATCCTGGAACGATAGCGAGGAGGATCAGGATATGGACTGCAGCAGCGGCAATCACAACCAGCAGCAGCAACCGCAGCAGCAGCAGCACCACAACAGCAACGAGGACGAGGACGATCGCTCATCATCAGCCTCATCGGCCATATCCTTGACCATGAAGCGAACGCGCCAGGATAGCGAGTCCACGCTCTACCAAACGCTGCTCATGAAGCAGGAGCAACACCAGCAGCAGCATCAGCAACAGCAGCATCACCAACAACAGCAACATCAGCAACAACAGCAGCAGCAGTATCTGGATGAGCTGCAGCAGTCGCACCAGCAGCAATTGACAGCCAATCTGTTTATGGCCAGGACTATAGCTCTGAGCAGGTCACGTGATTTTCCGGAACTCTTCCAAAACACCATTGCTGCAGCGGCTGCGAATGCGACAGCGGCATCATCTAGCCCTGGGAATAATGGTAGTGGACCGGGAAGTGGTGCCACAGCCACGGGCGTGGGAAGCGGAAGTGGAGCGGCAACTGGATCCGGAAGCAGTAACTACATGTTGCCCTGTCCGCTGTGTGAAACACCGCTGGAGCAGCGGGTTTTCCGGCAGCACCTGGACAGACACTATCCGCGTGACAGTCCCGTCTGTCCGGTGATCGAGTGTGGCCGCCGCTTTGCGCATCCCAATTCTGTGCGGAATCACATGCGGATCAAGCACACCCTGCAGTGGGCCAAGATGAAGGCCATGCGATCGTCGGGCGGCCCCTTTGCCGGCGGTCCGGACTTCAAATGAAACTGCGAGGCCGTGAGCTAATGTTACTCCGCGTAGTCACGCTAAAAGCTTTCTAGGTTGCTGCTTCTCAGTCAGTCACAATGGCGACAATAACTTGAATCTAACTCTGCAATGCAAATCTAAAGAAGAATCACCCAGTCTCGAGACACTCGCATCTATCTTAGATAGCCAAAAGTAGTCCAAGTCCCAGTCGGAGTCCACTATAACTAACTGTAACTGTAACTGTAAGCGCACGAGAGATCCTTACCTATAAGCCAACTACTGCAACGCTTCCCGCCCGCCCAGTCAGCTAGAGGAGCTTCTCTAAGTTCGTATTATTCTGTAACTGAATAAGTGTTCCTTTTGGCCATTTAACAGGTTTCAGTCAGCCATTCATTGGGGTATTATTTAAAGATTGTTTTAAGATTTCATTATGTTTATGAGTTCATTAATTTTTCCATGATACCAATTTGTTATCTTTCTGTTAACAAGACTTAGATGTTCAAAGAAGGGGAATTTAAGTTTCCAGAGAAGCTTCTTAACTGGCGGCGGCGGATGAACGCTTTGGGTTAGGATACTTGCAACAATAATTACGTTCCTATATGCGATAAAGTATATTACAAACGCAGACACCTACAGCTCTGATATGTTTACCTAAGACAACAGTAAATCTCAACCTTTGAATTCCTTGACATTAGCTGAATGAGGGAAACACGAGAAGATATAAATGTAGGACTCGACTTTAGTAACGCTCCAGTAAAAAACAGCAGCATGTGCAGTATTAAAGTAAAGAGCTAAAGAAATCGAAGAATAATAACATTAATTCATAGAGTTACATAAGCAAATACGTATGATTAAGCCATAGAGGGTGAGATAACTATGTAGATAAAGAGCTAAAAAAAAAGAGCAAACAAAGAAACATAGAATTATAGAAATATATAAAGTAGTTATTATGAATATTGATACTGAAACAAAATAGAATGTGCCTGCGTAATATATTTTTAGCCAAAAACAAAAACGAAAGAAAATTAAACGAATAATGGAAAAACTAAAAACACTGAAAAATAAGTAATCTAAAAGTTGAGCATTAGAAAGAGATACGAATGTGAAACTGATAACGATTTGTATTAGAGAAAGTTCAAAATTCAAGGAGACATTTTGTTGCGTTTACCTTAGGTTGACCGTAAACTGTAATTCGAATCAATTGGCGGCATAACACTCCAAGAGCAGACATACGTAAAAAGGTTCCTATAATGTTAATCAAAATGAAACACACAAAAACTAAAACTGGAAGCTCCAGCAAAACTGGCTAAGAAGAAGGTCTATCGAGTTTGTATTCGCGATATTGACTAAATATAAATTCTATTTCGAAGCGGACAATTTTACAATTGTAGATTATAAAGCCTAAAGGGAAAACACAAGCAGCCATAAGTACAGCGATTGTACAACAGTTTGTATGCCATTTTAGTTTGCGAAATTGTCTGAGGTGCAAAACACAAATGTATCTAGTACGAGTATCTTGTATCTGCGTTGCCTGGAGGTATGTGTTTGGAGGCGGCAAATCTATTTTGGTGAACAATAAAGAGCAAACGAAGACAAGCTGCCTTTTCATTGGACTTTCTAACGCGCAATTTTGATGAGCCCCTAAGACTAATCTGTGTTTAATCTATATCTTACAGTTTCCCGACGCTCCTTGGAAATGAGGGTTCGCGCCACAGATCCTCGTCCTTGTCCCAAATGCGGAAAGATCTACCGATCCGCCCATACACTGCGCACCCATCTGGAGGACAAGCACACCGTGTGTCCCGGCTATCGATGCGTGCTCTGCGGCACGGTGGCCAAGTCCCGAAACTCTTTGCACTCGCACATGTCACGCCAGCATCGTGGCATCTCCACCAAGGACCTGCCCGTCCTGCCCATGCCCAGCGCATTTGATCCAGATCTGGCCTCGCGCCTACTAGCCAAGGCAGGCGTCAAGATATCTCCAGCGGAGTTGAGGGCCAGAGCCTCGCCCACCGGCGGTAGTGGTAGCAGCGGCGGAGGTGCTGGAGGTGGCAGCGGTCAGGGCAAGTTAGATCTGAGTAACGCCAGCGGTGGACCCTTTGGATGACGCCGAAGACTCTGATGAGGACCCCGAGGATTTGACCACGGGCAACGGTCTGTATGGAATGGGCGGAAGCAGCAGCGATTTAAGCCGCTACCATGAAAGTCTGCTAAGCAATTTCGGACATGCCAGGATGCGAAATGAAGCGGCTGCTGCTGCGGCCACTGCAGCTGCTCTTGGTCAACCGAAAGACTTGGGCGTCCAGATGCCAAACAGCAATGCGGCGGGTCAATCCCTGCTGGACACATATCTGCAGTTCATCACAGAGAACACATTCGGTGAGTGCTAACACATTGGATTTCCGAGATCGTAAGAATAATTTGCGTCTTCTCTTCTAATCTTAGGCATGGGTATGTCCCAGGAGCAGGCAGCAGCTGCAGCTCTGCGCGCCAAGATGGCCCAGTTAAATGCTATGGGACACAGTCTAGACAGCTTACCGCCGGGACTTCTCCCTGGACAGTTTGATCTTAGCAAGCTAGCCGCCGGAAATCCCGCCTTTGGACAGAGCGGACCCGGACTGACCATAGAGCCTATACTGCGACACGATCAAGCTGCGGGAAGCCTCTCGCCCAATACCCACAGACCACTGGCTCTTAACTCGGGCGGCAGGATGATGGGCCACGATGAAATGGCGGACCACGAGGGCGATATAAGACGCGATGGGTCGGAACCAATGGATCTGGGCCTAGACATCAATCAATCGGGCAGCAACCATGAGGTGGCCAACTCCGATGCCGAGGAGAATTACTCGGAGGACGAGGGAGTACACAACACATAGGAGGAGCCAGAGATTCCAGCGAGGGAACCACGAATATGAACATGAACAGTTGTATACCGATTACCCATGGAACATATGTAACGAGTAGCCTTATCCTCATGTATACCAGTTTATGTGTACGATACGATACAATACGATAGTGAAACCTAGGACTAAAATCATATTTGTGCCGCTGCCAGAGCTGGCCTAGTAGAATTCTATGTTGTGCTTTTAAACTACCTAACTATACAGATATCTATATCTACCTATATATATATATATATATATACCCCTATACACAAACATATATATTTATATACACAAGTACCTGCTGTGTATACAAATCGATGAGAAAGATAGGAAGGGAGAGACCCCCACGACAGCCCATCCTGCATGAAAAATAATTTGTAATGGTAGTCTAGAATAAGATAGTTTTCACATTGAAAGAGAGCCTGTAAATATATAAGAATATTCCTGTTAGACCAGCAGCAGCAGACCCCAAACGATCCGTCGCATTTAACACTTACGTATGTTAGTATTGTACCAAACGCCAGCAGATAATTCAGATGTGCCATGCATGCCACAGCCTTCCAGTTCCAAGTCTAGCCAGTCGTCCATTGATTCACAGTTGTTACCATATCTCAGGAACACTCGCGGACGAATCCGAACAACTCAACCGAACTACCTCAACCAGCGAAAGAGTTAAACACAAACGAACCTTGAAGCAAACCTCAAAACTACCATGAGTTGTGACTGGTCCTGTACTCCATCTCCAGGAATCTTGCCAATTTTCAACAGCAGAAATCTGCTAGTAGATTTAGTATCCTTAGGGGATCAGAAAACAAGAAATTGATTATTTATACAACCTACATACATACGGTATACAGTGCACACTCGGTATACGTATTTACATTTATAGATACAAACAAACATACATATGAATGCCTGTACTTATTTGTCAGAGAATTGAATACCTCAGCATACTCAGCATTCGGTCGTTAGCACTCGAAGGTGGACCTCCTTAATGATATCCAGTGTGAATCATATATATATTTATAAATAAATTAGGCTAGTTAGTTTGTGTGGCAGCACTGCAAGCAAGACATAGATAGATGTAACTACGCGTTTCCTGTATGTATTTAGTTTGAATATGCCTCAGTTATCCTAGGTTTATGGTTATCTTCAATCGGAGATGAGCACAGGCTCTACAAGAGTCGCTACAACTTGCCTTATGACCAACAATATATGTGTTAATTTAGTAATTTTCTACCTCAATTAATTTAAATGTAATTTACTTGGATATTTATTTGTAAGCTCTTAACCGCGCTCTATCCAATGTGTAACTTATTTCACTTGGCTTGTTTTGAGTGTTTTAGCTACCCTTAATATGAGATCTATTCTAATTACTCACGAGTAACCTAACTTAGCATATAGCAAGAGATTGGTTGAGGCAGATGATGTGAATAAAACGAAATAAAAGTAAATGCGAGCATTTTTGGTTTTCTTAGTTTTAGTTTGTAACTTTCGGTTTTAGACACTTTTTCCCTCCTCTCGCTCTCGCCCCGATTTTGGCGCAGGGAGAGTGCAATAGATTGCATTTTCGTAGGCTTAAAATGCATTTAAGGCTAATGCAAGTTGATTAAGTCGTTAGTTTAAAATATATTAGTTAAAAGTCGTTACATAAGCAATATAAGTAGACATCCATGTGCTTAGAAAGTTATATACATATTTATTGACATTACAATAAAGCCCCGTTATAAAGACAATCTGTGTTTTTCTCAAAACATGGGGGTTGATTTCGCTTACTTAATAATATTACATTTTACTATAATTTATATTCTATAATAAAGAAAACACGGTGAAGTGCAACCTATTTAATCCAGACTAGCAGCTGTTTTAATCAACTAAAAATCAGAATTTCATGGCAAAACTTGAATTTAAAACCAAACCCCAAAGCTTATTTACACTTAACAAATACTTAAAAATTATAGCAATTACTTGGCTTTTACAGTTGGTTCATATTTAGCGAGTTGTTCTCGCATTTGATCCAACTCATCTTTCCGCATTACCAATATGCGCTTTGCAGTTTCGTACTTATTTTTGATCGTAGCCATTTCCTTCTTTTGCGATTCAAACTGTATCTGTAAGATAAATGGTTAGTTTAAGTATAATAAGTAAAGGTAAAATAAAAATATAACAACCTTGAGCGCACTGTATTGACCTGCCGAAAGGGATGTTATATTCGAAGTGTCATTGTTTTCATTTTGCCTGAGCTTCTCTTCCAGCTCCTTTATGAGATTGTAACGGAAACGCAGCAAGCTAACAGCATCCTGGTACTTTATGTTCGTTTTCTCTAGGATTGACTCCAAATCGGATTCTGTTTGAGTTTGGGCCGGTACTGTAGCAGGTTTCAGACTTGTCGTATGAGGTTTTGCTTGGTCGCCGACCGATTTTGCGGACAGTGCAGCAGTATTAGTGAGATCATTGATCTTGGCGTTAAGATCTTGAAGCTTAGTCTTAAGCCGTTTTTGCTCGGACCGTGCTTTTTCCTGCTCGTCTAAAACTCTCTTTTTTAATTGCGCATTCTCGTCCTTTAAAGGATGATGCATCAATTCCAAGGTCAACGCTGTCACTTGGCTCTCATGAATGAAGGACTGACGCTGGCACTCCTGCAGCTTGGTGTTCAGCTCTACGCAGTTGCACTTGTTGTCTGAAATTGAAATCATTGATGGGAAAAAGTGGCTATTTACGCCACAGCAACTGCTCTTACCCACGGGATCTGTCATGGTGCCACATTCTCTATAGTCGTTCCAGTAAGATTGCCGCCTTTCATCATGAACGCTAATTCGACTTTTCTTTCGCAATTCGAGTGATTTCTGCGATAAACATATTAAAGGGACTATAATGGCTTGAATTTAATAAAAAAAAAAATTTACCCTTGGACCACTAGCACCAGGACTCCGATCCAGACTCCTTCTCGCTGTTGGCGCAACTGGCGATCCATTGGGCGCATTTGACTCATTTACTTTGGAAGGTTGTAAAACAGCCAGTTCGTGCTCAAGTTTAGCCATAATTTCACTGACTGTGCACAATTTTTCCTCAAGATTGCGCTTATCCTCTAATAGACTATCAATTGTGTGAGCCATGCTATCTTCCTCCATTCGAAATCCAGCTTCCTTCGATTTCTAAATAAAACGGTTCTATGAGAAATCTACTACACTATAAGATTGTCACATTTTACCAAAGTTGCCTTCAGCTCCTCGAACTCCTTTGCAAGTTCCTCAGCTCTACCCACATTTTCATTGAACATACTCAACTTTTCTTCTAAGCTACGCTTGTCTTTCAATAAATTAGAAATAGTGGCATCCAAAGATTCCTTCTCCTTTAGGAAACAAGCATCTTTTGATTGCTGAAACACAATGCATTTTATAAATAATTTAAGTTGAAAAATGGTATTCCTAACTATTACCAAATCTGATCGTATCTTGTCGCATTCCGTTGTGAGTTCATGAACCTTCTGTTCCAGCTCAAATTTTTTTGTTATTAGCTGCCTCCATGGCCAATTGGTGTTTAGTTGTGTCTTGCTTCATGGATGCAAGTGCTGCCTTATTGGCATTCTCTTCATTATTCTCTCTAAGCATGGTCAGCTTTTCCTCCAGCTGATGATTATTACTTTGCAGATGGGATATAGTGCAGCCAAAGCGTTCTTTTTCTCGCTGGAACTGAATTGTTTTGGTTTCCTGTATGTATATGTATAATAATATATAAACTAAAATTGTTAAAGAAATTAAACTTACCAAATCAAACCGCAGGTTTTGACATTCTTTGTTCAGTTCTTCAATTTTTTTGCGACCTAGCTCTGTTTCCAGACCTATGTCCGTGGATTTTTTAATAATTTCAACGTCTTTGGCTTGTATCTGCTCTTTGAGATCAGCGTTTATTTTTTCCAATTCTTCCAAAGTTTTCTCTAGATTCTGGACATTTCTTAGCCTCACCTTTAGTTCGTCATTTTCAGACTCGAGGCTATCTTTTTTTTCCTTCCAGAGATTTAAACTTAAGCTGCAGCTCAACTATCGAACCCTTCAGATCATTCACCTGACGTTGGAACCCTAGTGTTTGGCCTGACATCTGTGCCTCGACCTCTTTGAGCTTGATGTTCTAGATGTAATTGTTCCGTGCTCGCAGTCGTCTTTGCATCAACGGCGTGCTTCAGTTCTAAGCGAAGCTTTTCCAGTTCTAGATCTCGGTTGGAGACATCTTGCTGAAGATGAAGCAGTTCCGATTGCAGGCACTTAACCGTATTCTGCAAAGAGGACGCCAGTTCATTTGCACTGGCAAGGCAGAGTTTTAGTCGTTCATGTTCCGAAAGAAGATCGGTATGTCCAACGACCTTGAGTTGTGCGTCTTGAAGTTTTTCTTCGAGATCACCAATTTTTCCCAAAAATGTATTGAGTTTTTCCTCTAACTCTTGCTTTCCCAAGTCCCTCTGTTCGCTTAAAGTACCAATCTCAGCTTGCAGTTCTTCAAGTTTCTTTAAAGGTGGTTGAATGCTGCGCACTAATATTCTCGATTTCCAATTGCAATGCAATCTTCTCCTGCCTCAATTTGTCCAAGTCCCGAACCTGCTCCTCACACTTTTCTTTGAACTCTTTAATCTTCTCGTTTGATGAGGCCAGCATCAAATCGAGCTCTTGATTGCGGGATTGGGCCACCAAGAAATTCTGGTCTTGAGTGACCGCCTGCGCTTGCAGCTGCTCCTGGCTATTGTCATATAGCTTCTCCAGTCGTATTTTTTCCATTTGTAGTTTATCTAATGCCAAGTCCTGCTCAGCTTTCATATTTTCCAAGTAAGAAATGGTTTCGGTCTTAGCGACAATATGACTTTTCATCTCCTCAAAAGAGTTGCTCATCTCCTCAAGTTTTGAGTGTGCAATTTTTTGCTCCTCCTCCGCTTGTTCTAATTGATCTTTAATCTGGGAGTTTTGTGCTTTAGCCTCAGCCACATTCTGATTCAGTATTTCCCTGATTTTTTCCAACTCTGCCTGGTGTTGGGCAGTCAAATTATTCCTTTCTCTCTCGGCCTGATTAATATTTTCTTGAAGAATACATTTAAGCCTTTCCAAATCCGTCTGATAGCTAGCTGTAGCAGTAGATAGCTCCTCCTTCGCCTGCAATAGCTGTTCTTTTAACGATGCCTCAACGGCGTCATAGTGGCCCGCGCACTCCTTCAACTTCTGACTAATCTCCCGGTTTTCTTTCTCTCGTTCCTCAATTTTCAGCATATATTCGTCTTGTAAGGCCTGCATTTTATCCTCTTTTGTCTTCTGCATATAAATTAGCTGTTCATTGGCTGTCTTTAACGATTCTCTAAGATCCTTTAGTTGATTCTGCTCTACCTCAGATGAAATATTTTTCTCAAAGAGTTGGGCATTTCTCTCTTGGAGCTGATCGATGGTGCGTAGATCATCGGACAGCTTCTGTGCCTGGCGATCCAGTAGCTCTTGCTTTTGCTGAATATCCTCCTCCAACTCAGCAAGCCTCACTTCCATTGATAAACACCGCTCGCTCATTTCCTCAAAGTCCTTCTGAAGCTCGACGATTCTATCATCTTTCAGATTTATCTGAGCTACCTGGTTTTCCAGTTTAGCCTGAAGTTCACACACCTTGTTCTTCTGTTCAGCCAGAGATGCCTTCAGAGCATCCGCCTCCTTATTATTCGTATCGATAGCTAAAGTATTACCTGGAAGGGTATCCTCATCAGGTTGAATTCTAAGCAGGCTCTCGCTCAGAGAGTTCTCCCTGGTTACCCTGTCCTGCAGCTCTTCGTATACCATCGTCATCTCCGCATTTTGTTTCTCTAGGCACTCGATTTGCCTCTGATAGTCCTCAACCTTATTCACTATAACGCTCTTTTCCAGGAGGGCTGACTCTAGGCTGGTCATTTGCTCGCGCATCTCATTGATGGTTGCCTCCGTGGCCTCCATTAGGGCACTTTTTTCTTCTACTTCCTTTTCCAGCTGGGAAATAATATCAAGGAGGCGCTTATCTCTTTCCATATTTAAGTCTTCCGGACTTAGACTCATAATCTGAAACCTGTGTCGCTTAAGGAAACCTTTGAGACAGACGGAATCGTGTGTATCTAACTGTTCTGTGTCACCTTCTACGTACTCAGCAGACTGGAGGCAAAGTTTTAATACTGGCGAGTTTTGATCTTTCTCCTGGATTGCTCGCATTGAAGAGGCGACCTAAGCCGGAATGGTGTTGGAGTTCAATCTGTTGGACGGACTCTGATAGCTTGATAAACTGCTGCAGAACGTCACTGCCTATATTGGGCTCATGTTCTGGTTCGCAGAATCCAGTGCTTATACCGGAACTCTTCATGGACAACAAATCATAGTTGTTCGGCCGTTGCTTCAGCTCCTCGCGCAGAGCATCGTTCTCCTGGACACTTTCCATCAGTTGGTTGGAAAGGCAGTCGTATTCCCGTTGAATCTCTTCAAAGTTGGTCTCCAATTCGGTAAGTTTTGCTTTTAGCTTTTGATTTTGTATATTTATCTTTTCCATAGCGGGTTCAGAGTTCTGACTTTCCTTAAGCATGCGTTGGGCCTCCTCCACTCGCTCCTCGAGAATTAGAATCTCCTTTTGCAAATTAGTTTTCTCAATCCGCAACTGTTGGCACTCCACAGAAGAGGTGCTTGATGTTCGCCCCATGTCATCGCTTTCCTTCTTTAACCTCTGGTAGTTTTCCCGAACAACGTCGTGGTCCGCCTGCAGGATCTTACTGGCCAGCTGTTGAGCCTCCCACTGTTGCTGCAGTTTGTCGTACCTTTCCTGCAGTTGTGCGAAGTCTTCTTGAGCCTTAGAAAGCTGGTTACAGAGACTTTGGCATTCTTCCATCGCTCTTGTCGAGTCCTCGCGGCTTGCCTGGCTGAAGGCCTCAAAGCTGTCTAACTTGGTCTTTGCATGGGCGATCTCAGATCGCAGGTGATCACACTCGCAGGCAGCGTTTTTGGATTCAGCAGTTACGAGGAGCTGCTCTAGTTGGCCGCACTTATGACAATTTCCGTCGGAGCTGTCTTCTGGCTCTGGACACATGGAACGCATGTGGTCCTCCTTGCTGTTGCGTAACACGTCCCGGGATAAATTATCCAGGGACTTTTGCAAATTTTCTATAGCTAAATCTTTTTCTGAAAGTGCTAAAAGCAAGTCATTCTCCCGCAGCTTGGACGTTTTTTTATGGGCCTTGAACTCAAACTCGAGACTCACTGCCTCGCGGTTTTCCACTTCCAACTTGGCCACATTCTGTTTCAAAGCACTTAAATGCTCTTTCAATTCGCCTATTTTCAAATTTGCTATCTCGTTGTCTGCCGTCAAGGTGCTAACCTTTTCCTGAAGAGCATCGTAACTATAATAAGACAAGAAGGAAACGATCTTTAGTACAAACTTAACCACTAGCCTAGTCCATGTTTTTAGTTTAGAAAATATGAAATGGTGGTTTAGTTTCTAGTTTTCGAAAATTAAAACCATATCGGACGACTATTCGCTATATCTTATACTGGATCTTAATATTTTATCTTTCTGGATCCTATTATGTTTTAGGAGATCATAACGAAAGAAACCCCCTTTAACTCACCACTCTTTCTTGTTTAAAAATCTTGCTCTAACTGATCCCGCTGAGATGTAACCTCGACCAGCTTTTCTTTTAAAGTCAGCACCTCTTCGCACTCCTTTTCAAAGTGCTTCTCTAAGATGGTGAACATTTGCAGGTCCTGTACCTCCTTCTTGACCTTCTCCATGCTGCAGATGAGTGCATGGATCGAGAAGCGTAGATGGATGCGAGTGTTAAGTGATGAATGTTGTGAGGGATGATCAAAATCTTAATGAAGTTATTTCAATAACACTTACGTTAAGGGTCCCATTTGACTTGCGATCGGCGTCAAGGTCAGGTCTGGAAGACGCCTGCTGGTCAACAAGGCTTTATGGACATCTGGGCGTGGTGAGCCAAAGTCAACGCACTCTGCGGGGAGGAATTCCTCATTAATTGAGTTCCCATCGGTGCCGATATCCAGGGAACTGAGAATGTTTATGGTCTTGGGAATATTGTCCCATTTTTTGGGTTGATTTGAATTGGGAAAAAACTCTGGTTTCGGTAGGTGGGACACCTTTGAAAACCGGAGAAGACGGTCGTCTGTGATCCCAGACTCAACAGGCTTCGATTCAGGACCCGATGCCGCCGGGCACCAAGTTCGACGACGCTTCTGCTGGCGATTGTCACTCAGCGAATTGCTTGAGATTATCTTATGCATATCGCGCTTGATGCGTTGCTCCAGGTCCTGCACCTTTAGCTGGCTCTCGTTCTTGCGCTCCTCTTCAGCTAACTTGTCCTTCAGTACCTTGATCTCACGCTCCAGCCGCTTCATCATCGTTGCGTCAGATACAATCTCGTTGACTTGTGGTTTTATGCGGATCTTCTTGGCACGCATAGCAAAGCTCAGTGTGGACTGCGACTCCTCCATGATCGAGGGCTTAATTGTGCAGATGATGGAGGTTAAGGCATTGCCACCCAATGATGCCTGCAGGATGCGCGTGAGTTTGGAATCACGGAAACTAATAAACTTGTTGTCCACGTTTTCTGACAGGCTCTTAATCACGTTGCTGAGGAACAGCAGGCTTTTGTTTATGTGGCCGCCCTCCTTAAGGCGAGCTCCTCGGGCACCAGTTTGGTCTGCCCTCTCTGATCCAGCCAGATCTACTAGGTTAAGTACGCTTTGAATTACAGCGTCATCGTCGCTACGATCCGATTTCCGGGACTCAATGATCTGCGAGACAGAACTTAAAATACGTACGAATGATAATTACAATAAAAATGGACTCACTATCCGAAATATAGCATGCGAGCGGCTGGAGCGTTCATTCATATTTGTCTCGCCCACCGTACGTTCCTTGTTGCCCATGCTGAGGAGGCGCAGGAGATCGTCCTCGCTGGTTATGATGCACTCTTCGCAGTTTACGTTTACTACCCCATTCCCGGACTCATGGATCTTCAAGTCTTGGTTCTTTTTATTAAGTAGGTCGTATATTTTTTCGTTGTATATCTCGATGTAACCCACGCGGAGCAGAAAGTCGCGCTCCGTTTCACTGGATATCTGTTGGAATATTTCCTTGGCGGCCAGCACCATGACGCCAGGGTTATCTCCGTCGCCCATCATGGTGTAGGTTTTTCCTGCGACATATATAAATGAATTTACGGTAAGGTACACGAAATAGGAAAGAGGTTATATAGGACATGTACCCACCTGACGAGGTCTGGCCGTAGGCAAAAATAGTTCCATTGAAGCCCTGCATGCAGGCATGCACGATGTGCTTGGCCATCCGGTCGAACACCATCTGGTTGTTAGCGTCCCCATCGAATACGTAGTCTTAAAATATGGATGAGAAAGAGTTTCTAGGAACTAGGACTCGGTTTGACCACTCACCAAAGACACAGGGATCTGCATGGCTGTCAGCCAGGTGGATGGAGCGTCCCTCCTTTACCTGCCAGAGGGATGTGAGCCCGGGCTCGCAAGGACGCACCTTGATGCACACCTGGATTGAGCTGGCGTTTTTCGCTGCCATCTGTACGCTCTATATCTAAACGATTTACGATAACAACGTCACAGTTAAAAGACTATTATATTTTCTAACGGGACACAAAGGAAACCGAAAATACTCGACATCTTTTTTTGACGTTAAATTCGAACAAATACCGCTTAAGAATAATCAGCGACGGAACCGCTTCGATATTAATTGTGATTATCGAACTAGTTCGATTAAAACAAATGTCGATAGTGAACAGCCGGTTCGTGAAGAGGATGAAAGCGAACAAGAAGTGATCAAATGATTCATATGTTGGCGCACAACAAACAGTTTAAAATTTCCTCAGGCAGTTTTTTCTTCAGTTTCCTTTCAGCTTCTGATTTCAATATTCAATGCAAGCGCAGTGTCCAATCCAAACAATATATCCTTAATATTTACTCTGTCTTGTTTCCTTTCAATTATAAAGTTCATTATTTTGAACGGCCATATATTTTAGTAATTAAATGGCGATATAAGCTGAGATTCCTTTTTTACATCTAGATTATAATTATCTTGTTAGCTTTTTAAATACTTTCGAACTGGTTCGAACTGAAGTTGTTATTCACTTCGAACTGGTTCGCTTGCGAAGCGGTATTTGTTCGAATTTATTTAGAGAAACAACTATGTCAGTCGAGCGAGCTTTTTAAAAACATTGATATTCTGTTTATATTCGTCTACTGTATGTTTTGTTAAAATTTAATATTTTTCAAAAATGGCTGCCAAGAACGCAAGTTCCATCCAGGTGTGCATCAAGGTGCGTCCTTGCGAGTCCGGACGCACCACGATCTGGCAGGTGAAGGATGGCCGCTCCATCCACATGGTAGACAGCCACGTGGAGCCCAGTGTCTTTGGTAAGTGGACAATCTGAGTTTTGGTCCGTTTTAGCTTAATCCCATCCTCAGTTTCAGACTATGTATTCGATGGAGCCACAACCAACCAGATGGTGTTTGACCGGATGGCCAAGAACATCGTGCACGCCTGCATGCAGGGCTTCAACGGAACTATTTTTGCCTACGGCCAGACAACGTCGGGTGGGTACATGTGCTATATATATATACACCTTCCTATCCATAAATACATATATATATCGCAGGGAAGACCTATACCATGATGGGCGACGGAAAGAACCCGGGTATCGTCGTGCTGGCCGCCAAGGAAATATTCCAACAGATATCCAGTGACACGCAGCGCGACTTTCTACTTCGCGTGGGTTACATCGATATTTACAACGAGAAGATATACGACCTGTTAAACAAAAAAATCAGGACGTGAAAATCCTCGAGTCTGGGAACGCAGTAGTAAACATAAACTGCGAGGAGTGTATCATAACCAGTGAGGACGAACTCCTGCGCCTCCTCTGTACAGGCAACAAAGAACGTATGGTGCTCGAAACCAAAATGAACGAACGATCCAGCCGCTCGCATGCCATTTTTCGGATAGTGAGTGCTTATGTCCAGCTATTATTATTCATTCTTATTTCACCTTCTGCCCGGTAGGTTATTGAGTCCCGGAAATCGGATCGTAGCGACGATGACGCTGTAATTCTGAGCGTGCTGAACTTAGTAGATCTGGCTGGATCCGAAAGGGCAGATCAAACTGGTGCCCGTGGTGCTCGCCTCAAGGAGGGCGGCCATATAAACAAAAGCTTGATTTCTCTCAATAACGTTATCAAGAGCCTATCCGAGAAAGTAGAGAACAATCTTATCAACTTTCGTGAGTCCAAACTCACTCAAATCCTGCAGCCATCGCTGGGTGGCAATGCCTTAACCTCCGTCATCTGCACAATCAAGCCTTCGATCATGGAAGAGTCGCAATGTACCCTGAGCTTTGCTAAACGTGCCGAAAAGGTCAGCATTAAACCCCAGGTCAATAAAGTTCAATCCGATGGAACTATGTTGGGGCGACTAGATCGCGGGGTAAAGATGTTGCAAGAAAAGCTAGCAGAGGAGGTGCGCCAGAACAAGAGCCAGTTGATAGTGCAGGATTTGGAGCGCCGCATCAAGCGTGACATGCTTAAAATCGTTACGGCCACCTCACTGAACGACCTCCGCATTCAGAAGCGACGCCGCACTTGGACTATATCCGGATCAGAAGGTGAGAATGCATCTACTTTATTGCAAACTGTGACAGATGAATCTCGCCTGCCGCGACCATCAAAGATGTGCAATCTGCCAAAGCCAACGTTTTATCCCCACACAAACGATTCGCAACGAAGGGAGATGGCTCCCAAAACCAACAGTATTTCTCAATCTCTCAAAGAAGAATTAATCCCAACTTTAAGTAAAGAACAGAAGCTCCAAAACCTTTTGGACGAAGAGGAGGCATGCAGTATTCCTTCCGTATTCACAAATATTTCTAAAAAAGATCAGGAGTCGGTTTCACAGTAAGTAAAAATAAAAAGTGCTCTGGTGCAAGCTCCAAGGTTTCGATCTATTTTTTTATTAATTTTTTTTATAAAAGAGAAAATCAAGGTTTAAATAATAGAATAAGTAAAAAGTCTCGTATGCACACTCTTGAATGCGAAAACTCACCTCTGGCGCTAATTCACCTGAGTTGAAAATGTGGTGGAGACCGCGTCGAGCTCTTCTACTCGACTGTTTCCACGCGCAGTTTTCGCTCGCTCTTTTCGCTTTCTCGGAGCAGTCGGTTCGAAAAGGGCAAACAAGCTCCACTCAGAGCGCGCTCGCGTAGAAATCGAAAACAAAACAAACGCCAACGCAAATAGCCGTCGAGAAAAAAGTCTTTCTGGGGAGAATCTGGGAGAGGGAAGAGACGAGAGTTGTGAGCCAGTTTCGCGGATAGACTTGACTGGATGCGATGACGCCCCTGCTTCGATCGCTTTGTGGCTCTGGCATTGCGATAAGGCTGTTAGCCGATCGACAAGCCAGTTAACTGGCCAACTTCTTGATAATTTAATCGCTGGAATTCCGAAATACTCATTGTATTTGCCGCTGTCCAACAACCAGCACGCTTTTCCTCCGCCCATTATTCCCACACTCCACCGCGGATCGTCTTGGGTGATCGATGACGTCGGCCCTACTGACGATCCACCAACGTTTTAGACTGTGATGTAACGCATATAGATTGGCTAACTGAAACCGGGAGAGAGTGAGTGAGTGAGTGAGTGACTAGGGTAAAAGATCTGCATCCACCTAACCATATGGACAACTGCGGTCAAAGTAATAGCACTGAGCATTAATACGTTTATTTGCAATAATAAATAATATAAACGGAATGAAAAAATGAATTAGTTAATTTAAGCTTTACTTTCCAAAGGTAATTAAAACGTAATCTGATTACAAATCACAAAACGAAATATATACCTATTATTGAGACAACTATTGTTTTGACTGCCACTGCATGAACATATCCGTGTATCCCACACACCTCGCCTAGTGCAACTTCAACTTTAATGCCGCCAGCTGCTTCTATTTTTAGTGGCATTTTGTAAATGCCCGATTCCCTCGGATAACTCACGTTTAGTCAGGCAGCGTAAAAAGTTTTCCTATGTGGAAAAGTCTTCTAAAAGGAAAATGGTTTTTAATTTCTTCGTTTTTTACTATCCACTCGACTAACTCTTTTTTTTTAACCATTCTAGCTACGATGCCCTGCGGTTGGAGGTCTCTGCCCTTACTGAATCCAACCAAATAGCAAAGGAGGCGATAGAGAAGTACGAGGAGGAAGTGAAGAGGCTAAAGGGGACCATTGAGAAGCTGGAAATGGATAAACGCGAGGCACTAGATCTGGGGCTGCGCTTTGAGTCACATAAGACCAAGTCCAAGCAGCTGGAAACCGAACTGCTTTCGGCCCTCTCCGAGAAGGATTTAACCATTGAAGGTTTGCAAAAATCCCTGAATGAGCTTTCTCGGGATGTGTTGCGCAATAGCAAAGAGGATGATTTACGTTCCATATGTCCCGATCTTGAGTCCAACTGCGAGAGGATCTGCAGCAAGTGTCGGGAGTTGGAGCACCTGCCGATCACGGATGACTTGGGACTCGAGACGATCGCCTGCCAGTGTGATCAGCTGCGATCCGAGATTGCTGCAACGAGGACCAAATTGGAAAACGTGCAGTCAGCCTTTAGTCAGGCGAGCTGCGAGGTTACCCAAAAGACCACTGAATGCGAACGACTCTCCAGACAGGTATCGACGACCCAGGATGACTTCGGAGAACTGCAGGGCAGGTATAACTCACTGGAGCAGCAGTGGCTAGATCAACAAATGACCATCGAGACCATGCAGGCAGATTACGTTGCTATCCAGCAAAAATACCAGAAGCTTCAGGAGGAGTATGAGCAGATGGAAAAAATATCTGACGAGCAGTGCAAGCAGCTGCAGTCTGATAATACGAATTTACAAGCGGAGATTGGAAATCTTAAGGAGCGAGTTGAAGATGCTCAGCGCAAACTTTTGGAAACTGTGAATACAGAATCTTTTGTAGAAGAGTTGAACGCTCAAAACCAAGTTCTCAGGTCACAACTTAATGAATTGAAGTCGAATTTCAACAATATCCAACGGGAATACGAAAGTCTATCCAACCAACTTTTGGAAAGTGTCCTGGAGAATGATGCCCTCCGAGAGGAGCTAAAGCAGCGACCCTCAAACTTCGATGTGGAGTCCATGAAGAGTTCCGGGCTAGGTACTGAGTTCAGCGATCTGGAGCATTTGTTTGAAGTTGATAGCGATCTTATGCAGCAGTTTGTCAAGCTGATGGAGTCCATCCAACAGATCGAGCTCCATGACCATTCCGGAATTAGTCGTCTTTTTCAGAACCACCCGAGTGGATCGGGATCAAAGCGTTCTAGGACTAAAACTTTTTCTCGGGTCTCCGGAGTACATTGAGAGCGAAACCGGTAAGCAAGACTCATTTGATTCTCTTTGCTTAAAAGGCTTTCTGAAGCGCCAGAGATTTCAGATTGTGAGAATTGGTCATGAACAGGGTTTTATAGGGGAAGAAGAGCGACTCCGTGAAAAAATTTCGCAATTAAAGCAGGAAGTCGAAAATAAGACGACCCTCATTGAGGAAGACAAGGCACTTATCGGTGAGATGCGTGTAAAGATGACCGACCTAGAATCTGACCTCCTGGAAAAGAACGTTATAATAGAAAAGGTTGAGAGCTACCAGCATCAGATTGAGTTCCCTACAAAAACAAAATGACGAGATGAGTTTATTGTACAAGGAGGTCCAGGATAAAGTTACCAGAGAAACTACAGCCCCAAGCACCTCCGATAAAAAAGATCATGAGTTACATGAAGTAATGTGTCTTAAAGAATCCCTAGCAGAGTTGAGGGACAAGGTGTGTGACCTCCAGGCCAAATTGGAAATTCAATTGAAACAAATGCAGCTGAAGGATGAGAACATAGCTAAGCTGCAGATAGATATAGAGGAAATGGGTGAGCGGTGCTCATCAATGGGTGTGAGGCTTGCGGAGTTGGAGGAGAAGATCCAGCATAAACAGGATCAATTAGAGAATCAGGCGAAAGAGCTTTCCGATAACCTAAGCATTATCGAAAAACTCCAAGCAAGAAATGCGAAACTCGAAGAAGGCAGCATTTTTGCGGCAGATTCTTTGAAACTGCAGATTAAGCAGGAGCAGACAGTTGATTCTTCCGAATATAAGCAAAAAATAGAAGTTCTCGAAGAATCGTTGAAGAGGGCCCAAGAAGATATACAAATTTTGGAGAGGAAAAAGACGGATGAAATCAACAACCTGCAGTTGGACTATATGATGAAGATCGAGACGAGCGAAAATGAAAACCGAGCCAAATTCCGTACTTATAGCCTAGAGCTGGAGGAAAGTAAAGAACGACATGACAACAGTGTAGCCACTTTGAAGGAACAACTATTTCAGGCCGGGAAAGAGCTGTCTTGTGTTAGGGCTCGCTGTCAGGCAGATATGAAAAGAATTAAATCTGATCTTCAAAAGATAATTGCTCAGGCTGAGGAAGACAGGAATGGTTTAATTGCGCAGCACCAGTCCGATTTGCAAAAAATCAAAGAAACTCTGAAGCTAAAGTTGGCTGAGGTGGAAGGGGCAAATAGCTAATAATGATTCTGACTTCTTGGTGGAAATACATAATGAAGGAGCCACTCTGAAGGAGCTGTTAAGCCAAGCCGATGAAGATCGAGATAAGGCAACGGCCTTGATTGATGAGATGAGAAACAGCTGGGAGGAGATGTTAAGGAATAATAGCACCATGAAAGTTACTATTGGGGAGCTGGAAAAATCGAAATCTGACCAGGATTTGGCATTGAAAGAAGCTAAAATAGAGAAAAATCAATTACAAAAGCTGTACGAAAAGAGCCAGGAGGACCTACAAAGTCTACTAACCTCTACTAAGGCTGAGATAACCATTGAGTTCCAGGAAAAGTGTGAGCAATATCTTCAAGACTTGGATAAATTGAGACAAGAAAAGATTACCTTACAGTCGGAGATTCAGGATGCCAATGCTCAGCACTCAAGCACCCTTATGCAGCTTGAGAAAGTTCAACATGAAATGCATACTATTATCAAGCAGAAGGAGTTGGAGAACAGCAAACTAAAGGACAAACTCGAAGTTTTAACAGCCAAGATAACCGATCTGGAAAACGCTCTGAAGTCGGCTACGTCCAAGCTTCTTGACTATGATGATCTCTTTTCCGAGTACGAACGGCTAAAAATTTGCTTTTCCGAGGCCAAAGAATTGTCCGGGAACCTGGAAGAGGAAGTAGAGCTCTTGCGATCGAAAGTGCGTGATGCCCAGAATGGAGTCTCCAGCAGAGATGTACAAATTGAACAGCTTCGCTCAGAGCTACAGCATGCTATGGACGCAAAGAAAACTGCCAGTGCGTACAAATTAGCTCTGGAAAAGCAGCTCGAAGAAGTTGAGGAAAAGGCGTCAATGGAGACAGAAAAGTTTAAACGTGAGGTGAAAGAACTAAATGGTTCAATAAACGAGCTGCAACTCAAGCTTGAATCTCTGCAAGAAACAAATGGCAAATTGGCGATCGGGCAAGAAGAGCTAAAAGTACAGCTGAAGAATACCCAGAATCTGGAGAAAATGCTGGAAGAATTGGAAAAAATAAACACCGATCTCAAAGACCGGATACAAGCCAAGGACGATGAAATCAATAAAAAATCCACAGAAATAGGACTGGAACTGGAGCTAGGCCGCAGCAGAATTGAAGAACTGAACAAAGAATGCGAAACTCTGCGAACAGATCTAGTAAATTTCATTTGAATAACCTCTTTCACTTTAATTTTATATTAATCTTTTTTAGAAAACTAAAACAAATCAATTCCAGCGAGAAAAAGAAAATTATCTGCAAAATAATAATAAACAGCTGGAGGAACACCTGACCATACTTAGAGAGAAGAATGAAGAAAATGCTAGACTTGAGGCTCAGTTGATATCCAATAAGACAGCACTTGCATCCATGGAAGAAAACTCGAGTAAACACCAGTTGGCCATGGAGGCAGCTAATAACAAAAACCTTGACCTGGGTGAAAAGGTTCATGAATTGACAACGGAATGCAATATGATTCGATCAGATTTGGTAATGCTTAAGATATTCCTATTAAGGAAGATATTAACAGTATTGTTTATTAATATTTCAGCAATCAAAAGAGGCTTATTTCCAAAAGGAGAAGGAAGTGTTCCTTGCCACCATTTCTGATATATTGAAAGAGAAGAGCAACTTGGAGGCATCGGTGGATTTGCATCATAGCTCTCTTCAAACGCAATGCGAAGAGCTACGATCAACTCTGGTAATATTGAATTAATTCCGGTTTTAAAATAGAGTTTTCATTGAATCTTAACGTAGAAATTGAAGGAAGCTGATCTGCAAAATAACAGACAGCTGATGAAAGAAAAGGATGAAGCTTTTCTTAAGCTTTCATCCAATCGGGCAGCATTTATGGAAGACTTGACTAAACAAAAACTAGCCACGGTTGATGCTGTTAAAAAGAGCCTCGAGAATGAACAGAGAGTTAATGAGCTTACAAGGGACTGCGAGCACCTGAGTTCAACTCTAGTAATATTTTGGGAGTTTTGTAATTTACTATGCCATTTATAATTTTGATTTTCATTGCAGAAATCTCGTCAAAACAGTTATCAAACGGAGAGGGAGCGCATGCATGGCACCATCACCAGCCTATTAGAAGACAAACGCAGCCTTGAGGAAAAACTGTGCACTGTCACCGATATCATGAATGACCTTAAGAGTGAAGTGGCGGCTTTACAAGCTCATAAAGTGAACGGCGGCAGTGTACTTCTCGAGTCAACTTCCCCCAGCGTTTCGCCTACTTCTGGAACAATGAAAATTAGTGAGCCAAAGGTACATATAATTTTCTCAAAATCCAAGGAAAAATCTTTAAAAAATTTATTTCTCAAAAGAAATTAAATGGTCTTGAGTTTACGGTGCGGCGAAATCGACGGATCACGGCTCATGATGAGCACCGCAAGCAGTCCTGTTGGAACGGCACTCGCGATTGTGAAAATATTGCGGTTCCCGAGGGTTAGTACAGTTATATTAGCTGAGATGCATAAGAAGTAAATAGATTTTAATTACAGACAGAAATTGACATTGTGTTGAGGTGAACTGCACCTACAGACTGATTCCGAACTGGAAACAATCATAAGGAGTACAAACAACGCTTGGAATTGGTTTTATATTAAAAACACTAGCATCAAAGAGTTACAAGAGATAGTTAAAAATATATCATCTCACAGCATCACTTTCGCAACGATGAGCTGCAGGGATTTTAGGGAAACGATGGCTCCGGGAAGGTAGCCAAATAAGTCATGATGAATGTTATTCAAGTATTAGGTTTCTTTTTGTTAAGTGTTACTTGCAAAGGCTCAACCTTTTATATTTAAAGTTTGCTGTTTATATGTATATCTAAAATTATCTGTTTGGGAAAATTGCTATACAAATAGTAAGACAGCAGAAGTGATCAAAAACGAGAATTTAATTCAGCATTAGTTAAATTAATGGGTTAACATTTGCTTGAGTTTATTTATATGGAAGACTGAAAATGTGGTCTTCGTTAAATTAGATGTCCTAAATATGTTAAATAACTTATTTTGTTTCAATATAACTAAATAAACTATAAACTATTCTTTTTAAATACAAAATCTTTTTTTATATCTTATATTAAGGATGGCTTTTAACGGCTCTATTTAGAATCCGGTGTCCAACTGTTTGGCCTATCGACAAGTCGATATGCGCAAAAATTACGATGTCAGTGTTGTGCAGTGTTTTAATATATTGCTCGTTTTTTAATTTTTTTCGGTATATATCATAAATAAATACGTTATTGAAAGTATGTATTTAAAAGTCAGTATATATTAGACAGTATATTTCCTTGACTTTTCTGCGGTCACACTGACGCTGGGCAAAACAGAAAATTACGACTAAAAAGCAGCGCCCCGCGAAAAAAAGGCCATGAACTCGGCAACCAAGGTAGGTGCAAGTGCTCAGCCACATCCGCCGGCGACCACTCCCACTAAAATCGTACAACCAGAGGCCCCACGTCGGAGTCCGAAAAAGGCGGCGCGGGAGAGAGTCAAGAGTCGTTCGTTTGTCTCACTCCTGCGAGTGGGAAATTTGTTGTTCCATGTTCTCTGTGTTGACGTACGGTGGGCGGGGGGCGGTGCGTTTGTTTTGAATTTGCACGCGGTAACAACAAACTGACTCCGGATGCAAATCCGGATGCTCTTGCAGGTGGGGGAGATATTCACGGCCGCCGGACAGGCATTCAGCAGACTTGGCGATCTAACCATGCAGCTGCATCCCAACGCGGACTCGCCCTCCGGGTAAGTTTATCCTCAGTGGAGTCCCGAGATTCGGCAGACACTAATCGCTGTGTTTCTGTGTCCTTTGTTCCCTCGCCATGGCTGCAGAAAGTGGACGGACGAGGAGATCGACATGCTGCACTCGTCCATAATGCGTTTCTCTGACGACCTGACCAAGATCAGCCTGAGCATCAAGAACCGCACCGTGTAAGTGATCCTGTAATCCTGGCGAGGGAACCTATTGTCCAGTGTGTTCATGCTAACCCAACTTACCTTTGCTGATTGCAGCTCTCAGATCCGCCAAGCGCTGAAAAAGAAGGCCTTTGAGGACGCCGGCATTCCCGCCAAGCAAGTGCCCGTCCAGCAGGTGCAACATGTTCTCCAGACGCTGCCAACGCAACAGTCGCAGCAATCACCTCAGCAGCCACCTCCTCAAGTATTTAAGTCTCAGCCCATCGTGCAGCATGTGCAGCTGGTGGCACAGCCCAAGCAGATCATACTGCATCCACAGACCACCACCACGACGGGAACGACGGTGACCGTTAAGCAGTACCAGCAAATGCAAAAGGCCGCTGCGTTGGCAGCCCAGGCTGCGGCTTCCTCGACAAACAATACGCCCACCATCACGGAGAACATCATCATCCAGCACCCTACATCTACTACGGCGACAGTGGTGCAGCAGCCCCATGTAGTGTCTACCTGCTCGTCGACACAGATCGTGGTGCCCGTAGCACCGACTGTGTCCACAGTATCTACAGTTCTCTCCCCTACGGTGGTGATTGCCGACGATGTGGTTAGCACCTCCAATCCTCCAGCGACGACGGCACGGCATCACCGGCTGGGGCGCCAGCGGGCTTGAAATGCGGACCAGACGTGTCTATGACCCTCAACCGCATCAACGTGCAGGAAAACGAGGTAGACGTCGAGGAGTGCCTGCCGGCCGAGGTGGTTAAGCTGGACTTTGTCAGCGAAGAGGTGGCTGGGTGAGGCCTGAGCCCTCGGAACGGGCTAGATTTCTACTATTAGATCTCTGGCCGCATAACGAATCACGTAAATTAGAACAGACCCGCTACAAATCTAGATCGAGAACTCTTAAACAAAACGGTTGAGATGCCGCCCTAGCCCTAAGCCTAAACTGTTAAGTGTTGTCATATTTGATATACCTTGAAATCACCTTGTTCCCGGCCCGAAAGACAAATGGATTGTAAGAAATGGAAGACGAGTCTGTGGATCGACAGCCACAGAGCGTAGATATTAATTGCAAAGCGGGTATGCTGCGCCTAGACTTAAATTTATGCAAGACACAATAGTGCAAAGTATATAACGACGATCGTGTGTAAGTTGAAAGTGAATAAACGAGCATTATTTTAAGCTCCGCTGATCTCGGGGATTTTATTGGAGCTAATTAAGCCTACATGTTAGAATTTTGATTTATTCCAAGCTTAACATTCCAGTTTCGTTTAAACGAATTGCATTTTAAACTTTTTTATAAGTAAAACTGAAAAGCCTTTATGAATATGGATTCTGGAATCGGCTGCTAAACTACAGATCTATTATATTTGTTTTTATTTATTTATTTTAAATATGTTTAAATTTATTTACTGAATTGATCCAATAAATCGTAGCACAAAAATTTGCAATTTAATTAAATCAATTATTATTCAGAAGTATTTTTTCAAAAATACCGCCCAGCTCATAAATGCGTTGAATGTAGACTGCCATTCGCATGTCGGATTAAAAACCCGCATATTCAGAACGTTCAAGAAGAAGAGCAGCAAATAAAGATACGGATACAATCAACAACAACAGTTGCAAAGCAAATCCATTGTTCGGAGCGAAATGAGGCTTCATTTGCGAGTCCTTCTGGCGTTTTTCGCATTCTGCTCGGCAATCTACAGCTCACAGGCCTACAAACCGGTAGTCATTCTACATGGAATCCTGTCCGGAGCCGAATCAATGTCATCTCTGGTCCGGGAAATCGAAGAGGTTTGTTATTGGATTCCCCTTGTTATTGTTTACCATCCAAAACAATAGTGACAAGGTGAAATGCGTCACAAACAACGTAGTAAAACTGATAACCGTTTGTTTTCTGTTTGTAGTTTCATCCTGGGACTATTGTTTACAACTGCGACAAATTCAGTGGTTGGTATAGTTTGGAGAACGCCTGGCGGCAGGTTGACCAAGTAAGGGATTACCTCAACGAAGTGGGCAAGCTTCATCCGGAGGGCATTATAGTGTTAGGTAGTACATCTGCCATTATTGTTGTTCTCCTGATTCCTAATATCACTTTCAGGATACTCACAGGGCGGCCTTCTGGCCCGGGCGGCCATCCAAAGTCTGCCCGATCACAATGTGAAGACATTTATATCCCTATCTTCACCACAGGCGGGACAATATGGAAGTAAGTTAAACTCAGTGATCTCAGAACTTAAAGTCGATTCCCCTAAGAATGGCTGAGTAATGGTTATAAATATATCTATTTAGATGTAATATAAAAATGGTCCTTATCAACCGAGAATTAATGCATTACGTTTCCAAAAAAATTAATTTATATTATGTAATGTATGTTTTGAAACTTGCAGTGAGGTTAGTTTTTTACCAGAGATTTTCATAGTTTTAGGCTAAATATAGCGCATAAAAAAATAATACTCTCTAAAATGTAGCTTCGCTTTTTGTCTCGATTTGTGTTCTGATTTTTGATAGTACATATTTATATTAAGATTAATATATGATAATAATTAAATAAATGTCTTATTTCAGCTAGCTTCCTGCATCTGATATTTCCCGATTTGGCGGCAAAGACGGCTTTTGAATTGTTCTACTCACGAGTGGGTCAGCACACTTCGGTAGGTGGCTACTGGAATGATCCTCAGAGGCAGGAGCTATACATGAAGTACAGCGAATTCCTCCCTCTGATTAACAATGAGAAGAAGACCTCCAATTCCACATCCTTTAAGATGGGTATGGTGCGGCTCAATAGGTTGGTGATGATAGGCGGGCCTAACGACGATGTGATCACCCCCTGGCAATCCAGGTAAGAATTAAGTTATGTGTTATATTATGAAATTTAATATCTGTTGTATTATTTCAGCCACTTTAGTTACTACGATGAAAATATGGATGTGATTCCATTCATCAAACGAAAGATTTTCACTACCGACTCCATCGGCATAAAGACTCTGCAGGAGGGTGGGAAGCTCATCATTGTGATTAAACCACATGTTCACCATCTTGCCTGGCACACTCGGAAGGATGTCATCCACGAAGTGATAATGCCATATCTGGACTGAACAAATAACCAATAGAACATTCATAATAGCACTGAAGCGATCAAAGGGCTGTGATCGAAATGGCGGAGAAAAGCTCGCTCTCATCAATAAGCATTATTGTGAAGTTGCTACCTGGCTGACAGGCTACTCAAATGATCTTTTATCGGTAATTTAGCTATAGATTGTTTACAATCCCTGTAGATTTCAGGGGAGATTTATACAAATTGATTAGATATTATATATATTATTTAGGTAAATATGAGTAAAGTTAAGTGGTTGATATGATACTGGAAATTTAATAATAGTTTTTTCACTGTTTCTTGAGAAAAATAAAATATATTTTATCTTAATTCAAACAATTTCATACTTTAAAGGGGTTAGTTTGAATATAAATTAAAAGAATAACTAAAAGATTAAACGACAAATCTTTCTTTAATTGAAAACTTGTTTAAAGCTTATGGTTTTAATTAATTTTAAAATGATTCAGCTCCTATAATTCAAATATTCCAAGAATCCCGCACTTTTAGTATTAAGTAGTATAAATATTTAATAAATAAAGCGACCTGGTAACACTTAAAACTCTGGCGAAATAAGGCGCAAAGTCGCGGTTTATTTTGGGGGTTTTAAAGAGAGACATCATGGAAGACACCGCTGGAGCAGAACTAGATGTGGACAACGTGATCCGCATCATGGTGGCCACCGACAATCATCTGGGCTATGGCGAAAAGGATGCTGTGCGCGGAGAGGACAGTTTCACAGCCTTCGAAGAGATCCTGGAAATGGCGGTTTCCGAGGATGTGGACATGATTCTGTTGGGCGGGGACCTTTTTCACGATGCCGTACCCAGCCAGAATTCCATGCACAAGTAAGTAGAGATTACGATGCATCTTTTCCATTGCAATTTCCGGATTCCCCACCAGATGCATTGAACTCCTGCGTCGCTATACTTTCGGAGATCGTCCCGTTTCCCTGGAGATCCTCAGCGATCAGGCGCAGTGTTTCCATAATGCTGTCAACCAGTCTGTGAATTACGAGGATCCCAATCTAAATATTGCCATTCCAGTGTTTTCCATTCATGGTAATCACGACGATCCCAGTGGTTTTGGTCGCCTTAGTTCCCTGGATCTGCTAAGCACCTCGGGACTAGTCAACTACTTTGGCCGCTGGACCGATCTTAGCCAGGTGGAAATCAGCCCCGTCCTAATGCGCAAGGGCGAGAGCCAGTTGGCTCTATACGGACTTAGTCACATCCATGACGGGCGGCTGGCCAGGCTCATCAAGGACTTCAAGGTCAAGTTTAACTGCCCCGAGAAGGCAGCTGAATGTGAAGCCGGCAATGAGTCGAAAGTGGAGGATGACTGGTTCCACCTTCTTGTTGTGCATCAGAATCGAGCTGATCGGGGACCAAAAAACTATTTGCCCGAGGATTTGCTGCCGTCGTTTCTGCATTTGGTGATCTGGGGTCATGAACACGACTGCCGCATCGAACCGGAGGAGAATGCTAAAAAGCATTTCTATGTCTCCCAGCCAGGCTCCTCGGTGCCCACTTCATTGTCTGAGGGCGAGGCTAAGAAGAAGCACGTCGGCCTCCTTGAAATCTACAAGGGAAAATTCAAACTCCATCCGCTTCCGTTGCGGACCGTCCGACCCTTCGTTTTCGAATCTGTCGTACTCCCCGATATGGCCGATGAACTAGGACTAGACGAAGGCGATGCCTCTAACAAAGTCTTTCAATTTGCAAAGGATCGTGTGGAGGACATGCTCCAGCGGGCAACCTCCCAACATACCGGTCATCCCAGGCAGCCCACGTTGCCGCTTATCCGGCTGCGCCTTCTTTACACAGATGAGTCCTGCATGTTCAACACCATTAGATTTAGTCAGATGTTCAGCACGCGGGTGGCCAATGTGCAGGATGTGGTGCAGTTCAGCAAACTTATCAAGCGTACCAAGACGGAGACTGTAAATCTGGACAAGGAGGCCCTGCGACGCGCACTAGTAAGTATTGAAAGATGAAAAGATCTACAATGTTAGGACATCTTCATATCATGGAGAATTTATATTAAGCTAAATTTTCCCATTATTATGTATTTAAGGAGGCAGATAATGCCACTCGCGTGGAGGAGTTGGTGGACCGTTATTTCGAAGAGGCCAAGTCGAATAAGCCTCTAAAGCTATTCCACTCCAAGGCACTGGCAGAGATGACTTATCGACTGGTGGAGCGAAGAGATGCTGAGGCAGCAGAAAATATTGTCAAGCAAGTTGCCGTCGAATCGCAAGTATCTCTATTTAAACAAATTTTTTTAACCAGGTTCTACAAGGAAAAGGCCGTGGATCATCTAATGGAATCCATGCCCAACGATGAGAACGTTGACGACGAGTTGGCGGGCTTTAGGGTGCGCCACAAGCATGAGGATCTGTTAAAAATGCTTGATGCCCAGGGCGTGAAAGTAAAGGGAGAAAATAAGTCCCCATCGGTTTTGAGCAGCGAAGCGAACTCATCTATAGCACCCGCGACGGGAAGAGGGCGTGGCAAAGGACGTGGTGCTGCACGAGGACGTGCCACTGCCTCAACAGCCGCACGGAGCAAAGCCCAGCTAGATGTAAGCGTAAATAATACGGTTTGTATAAGTTTAAAAGAAACTAATTAAAGATTCTAATGTTATAATCTTTTACTTTGATTAGAGGGCACCGGCGAAACAACAAACCCTTCTGAGCAGCGTTAGAGGAACTCGTAATGTTGCCAGCTATGTTATATCCGATGATTCCGATTAATTGTTATTATAGAGCCCCATTTAAGTTGAATAAATTGGAGCTTTCTTTTATATAACCTCTAAGTACATTTCAATATCGTTTATTATTTGGGTTTCATTCTCAGGGTTCAGGCAACTGCATAATAGATTAGCCTAAAACTTAAGGGCTATGTTAAGGTGAACGGCTTTTGTCGGGCTGCACTTGGCCCGACTATATGTGGATCGGTTAGTCTTTGGTAGCTTAGCTGCTTCAGGACTCCGCCGCATAACGGCAGAGATTTCTCCAGACCCCGACCAAACACTGCGCACACGCGTTACTGCTGGTGGTACTCGTAGTAGTAGCGATAAGGGTCCACCGATGAGCTGCCACCGGCGGCGCTCACGCCCACGCCACCGGCTCCAGCCCCACCGCTCGTCTTTGACACTGGCCGGATAACATATGTATTGCGCCTAAGGGGGATTTAATATTAGAGTATGATAATCCATATTTAACCGAACCGGTTGGAAGACAGGACTCACCTGTTGTGCTCTCCGGCGTGAACCTGGAAGCTGGTCTCTTCGCTGTGGTCGTGCGAAAAGAGCTTTTTAAGCGCTATGATTCCGGCAATAGTCAAAGCCACCTTGCTGATGACAAGAGCTTTGCCAGCGATTGCCGCTAGAGCCTTGAGACCCAAAGGACCAGCGATTCCCATGGCGGTGAGTAGGGCAGCCACAACGTACTTGATATGGCCCCCATCCTTGTGCTTCTTTTTCTTATGTCCGTGCCCGTGGCCACGACCCACCGCATTCTCCTCTTCAATGCCTGTGCCTCCGTCCATATCGATCTTGAGCGTATGCGTCCGCATGAGCTTGTCCGCCTTGGAGAGAAGGGCTCGGTCGATGGGTCCCATGTTGCCAAACTGACGGGCATCCGTCAGGGAGCCCAAGATACTCTCCGTTTCGCTCTGGTTTTGCTTTTCCAGCACCAGACCATCCACAATCTTAATGGAATCCTGATCCAGTGCTCGACTGAGAGCGTGAAGAGCTTTCTGCTTTAGGCAGCCTATAAAGTCATTTTTGTCTTGGCAATCGTCGTAAACCCTCCTCACTAGCGCCATTTCAGGACCAAACCCCCATCCTGAGCTCCAATCACTCAGGCTGGAGGCGGGCGTATCCACAGTGCTGTGACGTCTTCTTCGTGGAGCTACTGCCGTTGAGACGGAGGCTACGAACGCCAGGAGCAGAAGCCATTCGAGCCGCTTCATGGTGAATTCCTTGCTAATGGTTGCGGCTATCCAGGGACCTAAACTTAAGAGGGTCTTCGATAGCTTATATCCACGTCCACTTGCCGGCAATCTGGGGATGCTACTGCAGCGAAATCGCTGGGCGGGCAGAGCTTTTATAAATTGCGATCGGAGATTGCGGCGCACTCAGACGGAAAGAACTGGCGTGTTCGATGGGACGCAGACAGATGTTGGCGCTTGGACCTGGGGATGGTGATGGAACAGTAGCTACTCGGAGGGCAATTAGCACTGGCCATATTTCGTTATGCGTTCGACCGACTCTCCATGTCTTAGTCGCTGACATGTTTTCGTTACCCAACCACGGATGGATGCTTATCCATGATTTTTAGATCCCGCGATCAACGCCAGAGACTTGCCAGAAAGTGCCACTTTTCGATTTCTATAAGCGTATAGGATATGTGTTTGGTAGTCAATATATATGTCATGGATTCAGATCCTATTTTTATTTATTTCATTTTACTCAGTTTTTTATTTTTAGAAGATAACTAGAATATTTAGCTAATAAAGAAAAGATAAATAAAATAGGAAAATAATGATTTTTCATAATCTTTCTGTATAAATTATATGTTTTGCACTTTGAATAATTATCCTCTTTATATCATAAGAATATATATGTTCCATATCATAAGTTATAGACTTTTATTACCTTTCAAGTAATAACTGTATGATCTGCCAAATAAAAAGCGATCACTAGACCACTAGAACGCCAGAACTGCCCATATTTCCCTCTGCATAAATTCGGAGTAAATCAGTTCTTGGAAAAGAGAGTAGAAACTGCAAGAATAAATATGGCTAATAAGATCTTAAAAAAACAACAGAAAATATCAGCGGGTGGGTGTTTGTGCACTGGCTGTTACCCGGAGGCAACAACCGATCTGCACACCATATCTCAGTAATAACTAATAACATTTAACGATGCGTGCAGCAGAGCGATTAAGCCGACTTCGGCTACTGCCCCATGGACTTGGTCTTAGGACGTTGTGGGAATGGTTGGAGCTCGCAAATTGGTTATCATAAATTGCCACTACTTTCGGGTTGGAGCAGGGGGATTCCCCGTCGATGCCGTGAGGTGATCGCTGCACATTTGGTTCACTGGCCCACTGGGTGAAATTGAATTGGCTACAGTTAAGAAATTTTCTTTTCTGCGCACCAACTGTGAAAATCAACAGCTACCATCCTCTAAAGTAAATATTTGCCAGCCTTGCGATTCGCTTTTGTGAATCAGATTGGACTTGGTGACAGTAAAATGGCAGTGAAAAGTGACTGAGACACTCTCACCTGGTAAGTCATACTAACTAACTACACAGAACCAGAGATAATTGCTCAAATTAGGCTTAGAAATTAAACGCCTTTTTTTTGACAAAGTTCTTAGAATAAAGTTAATAATCATCTTTAAACTTTGATTAATCTTATAGTTAATCAGTATAGTTTCTTCTATAAATCGTATTTAGTATGGATTTACATATTGTTATGAATTTTTCTGAATATTTCACCCAGTTTAAAAACTGATTTAAACTGACATCTCATTAACAAAATAATTTAGAGCATATACATATATATAATATATACTCATGTTTATATATGTTCTCCATGCAGACTACGAAGCACATATTAGAGCCACGCACACGAATCCTCTGCTCAAGAGGGCGTAAATAATTTAATACATCAAGAAAATTGGAAATGAAAGTTTCTTTGTTTTGGTTTGGCGTGGCCGCAGCTAACTTTTAGTTTCGATGCTGGCAGATAGAAGGAAATCCTGCCGAAAAGGACTAACGGACGGATAGACAGACAATTGTGCGATTTATTTGCACATTTCGGCTGACCATTTGGGATTCCTAGGGCGGTTGGGTGCTTCTCGTCCGACTCTTATCGTCAATAATCATCATATGCTCAAATTTTTGGTCGCTTAATTGGAAAATTGTTGTTGTTCTTGCGATACGCCTGAGCGATTGGTTGATTGGATGGCCAGGATCTGGATGGATGGCTAAATGGACGATTCGTTTGGCTGCCTAGTGCTGTTTGATTGATGGCCTCCACATTGTTCTGCGGCCTTGTTGTGATAATATTTGCTCAGCGCCAGTTTGATTGGCATTTTGGCCAAGTGCCTTGTGGTTGCTTTGAAACGTTAAACTCGCATGGTGAATAGCTGGTAACATGGTTATTAATAACTAGAACAAAACTTTTCTTAAATATAAATAATAATTCGAAAGTTGTCATAAATTGAAACCATTTTAACTTGGTCAATGGCTGGAGTACGATTTTTCTATTCCCAAAAAGCGACTGCGCAAAATCCGAGAAAGAGTACTCCAAGGGTGGAATATGAGCTCATATCTCGTCATATTTCATAACACCCATTTCCTGGGAAGGTTCGTGTTTTTGTGGTTGCGACTCTTTTGTGGGCGTGAGTAGTGATAGCCACCCAGTCCAAAATGGCGACGGACTTTGGGGGATTACTTTTACGGGCTGGAGGATGCACTGACGGTTCTTTGAAGTTTTAGTTGAATTGGCAAATGACAGGTGCCGGGATTGGGGAAAACTCCACTTGAGTGTGCACCACGTTGGAAAATGCTCTCATATCAAAAGAAGTCGAAACCACAAAGAAAATCTCAGCGGCAAATTTTCAGCTACATCAAATCATCGAGTCCCGTATCCGTATTCGAGCCCGTATCTCAGCCCTGTTTGCACCTGCACACCCCTCACCAAAGAGGGGTAGACAAAGAATTTCCCCCCATGCCCATTATCCAACTCTCTGCCGCTTTTCTCTGGCGACTGCGGTTCGTTCGCCTGCTGCCAACTTTCAACTACTTGCAAAGTTTTCACATTTTAAATTTGTTGGCTTGTTGCTTGTGCTCCGATTTTTCTGCTTCCATTTTCCTTTTCCTCCGAAGTTTCTTTGTTTTTCTTCGTGCTCTTCTTGAGTGCAGGTCGCATTTGAACAGTGGAATTGGGATGTAAACTTACCTTAAAAATAATTTAATAGGTCTATCCATAAAATGTTTTTAAGCCCTAATAACATTGGGTTACTTTCTTTACTATTGTGAAATTCCTTTAAACTTGTTTTTAGTGACCTTTAGAAAGTTATGAAACTTTTAAGAAAGAGTTATTCATGATTTTTGATAATATATATATTTTTAAAGGAAAGTCTTGGGTATATTAAACTTACTTCCACAGCATTCATCTAGAATCCTTCGGAAGCACAACCTTCTGTACATATTTGAGTCGAGAGACAGATTTGTGAAAATCTTTAATTTGTTGCCCCATGAATATATAAGGGCGTTGTACCTTTGCCCTGGACTCAACTCAAATATGGAAGGATATGGGCTGGACCCCGGACTTTGGTCCTTCTTCGGACTTTGCCACAAGCTGCGGTCTCTGGCCAAATTTGCTTGCACTACATATTTTCAAGTTTACCTTCAGGGTGTACTTGGTATACAACATCTAATAAGCTCGGGAATATCGCCTCCCCCCTTCGACTGGGTGTCTGGGTGTCGATGGCTCCTTTGTCTCCCTCATCGTTATCGATTGCGCAGCGAGTTGAGCTGGAAAAATGTTTTCGCTTTATCTCGACGGTGGGCGTGGCAATGGGAAATGGCTGTGGGTAAGGGTGGTGAAGAAAAATAAATTGTTGCAAATACAAACAGAAATATAATTTTGTTGCCTCGCATCTACATGGGCCACATATTTATGGCATGCCAGCACGTACGCGATATATTGCAACCCAATCGCTAGACGAGAAGCGGTGGAGGGCTTTTATTTATTTGGTAAACTTCGTTTATATCGCACACAAAAACCGAACGGGGGAGTCCCCCCATCCCTACCCCATCTGGCGAAGGGAAAGCGAAACAGAAAGCGAAACAGCAGTCGACGCCATGTTGAATGCGTCGCCAGTGGGCGGTGGGCGGAGGGCGATGGGTGGCCCTGTGGGGTGGTCGTCACCATCATAAAAGCCTTGGTTGAGACCCAGGACCAAGGACCGAGGAACAGAACTCATGTACTCAGTGTTTGTTATGCTTGTCAAGCATTTTGCGCGGGACCGTCTAACGATATTTCGATTTTGATATCTTTGGGTGTTATCGTTAAATGTCTGTATGGGTGATAGAAAGGGGGTTGAAGTTGGTTGGCAGGCGGACCCACAATGTATACAATGTGCCATGTTGATTATGGTCTCATTTTTGGCATTTACTTTTTATTGACATTAATTTACACTTTAAGAAAAAAGTCCTGCCATTTATAGGTAAACTTTAATATGGAATATAAACCAATACCTCTTAAGTTTGCCTCTTTAATCTCAAGATAAATGCAGAGTAAAATATGATAAGTAGCTTAATTATTTATTTCTTACCTTTTGTGCCAAGTTGATGGCCTTGTCAGTGGAAAGGGAGACTCATGACACCTCTCCCATGCTTTCCATAATCGATGCATCCCTGGCCATGGTCATGTGCGAGACTTTTAAATTAGCACTCAAATGTGTCAAGAAGCCAGCATCATTATTCCACGAACCTAAGACCCTCGTCCACGTCTCCGGTCCAGTCCAAATTATGCCTGTATGTGGGGAGTTTTTGACATGGGTCCGAGATCCTGGCATCGGTGCCATCATATGTCATAATTATAGCTGCTCCAGTTTGGTATCCTGCCAGGGTAACCTGCTCCAGTTCCTGCTCAGATATTGATAATTGGCCCAGAAGTATGACCAACTGCGCCTCCGGCTGAAAAAGTCTAGACGAAAAGTGTCGGTTTTTGAATATTTTGACAGTTGGCACTTGATGGGTCCAATTGGCCATAGATTAAATACGTTTAAACAGTTTAAGGGCAAGACGACTTTTATACATACTTTTTGATTAATAACCTGGCGATGTTCTTGTGATTAAAAAATTTATATTAGTTATGATTAAAAAGCTATAGAAATAAATCTATTTAAGATCTACACTTAAAAGACGCCTAAAACAGTTTGTACGTAAACT